CTGTAACTCAGGCCCCTCCCTTTATAAAAACTTAACAGTTTTTATTATTTCTTTTCTTAATATCAAATACTTCCCCATTCCAAGTGTTACCCACACTTGCACACCTTTTTTCTTGGCTTTGCACCTGGTGTAGCTAGAAGAGTCAAGCTCTTGGCATCACCCAGGCTGACAGAAACTGATCCATACCCTTCTGCAAATAATGGCGAGGAGGGATTTCTGGTGTTGATGGACACTTTGTGCTTTGTCAACGAGGAAAAGAGCAATTGATCACGAATCATGTGGTGAGATGCGGCTGAGTCAATTATGACTGAGTTGTCAGAATGAGGATGGACTTAGGTGACAAACGCCGGCGCATGCGCATAACTGGCGCTAGGATTCTTCTGTGGCTTTGAAGAGGTCAGGAGTTCAGGATACTTTTCGAAACAGCGTTTTTCAGGATGATTTTCTTCTGAGTTATGCTCTCCAAAATCGCAAAGGTGAATGATTTTGGCGGGTATTTTGATTTTGAAGAGGAAGGGGCGGCAGTGAATAAGGTGACTGTTTTCTCTTCCTTCTTGAACTTGTGAGTTTGGTATGTCTGCAATTCATTCAAAACAGTGTATGGATCGGAGACAATCTTTTGATCGAGAGCTAACTTGTCAAAAATTTGATCAAGGTCTTGATTCATTAGCTTTCCAAGAATTAGATAAGAAACGAATTTCACCGGAACATCAATACCGATGGCGTCAATGTCAATCAGACAAGTCCGAGTCTCATTGATGTACGTTTGCAGATCACCCTTGTAGATCAGAGCCGACCAGGTCATGTAAACGCAACCTTGATTGATAACTGTTCTGGATGCATACTGGTCAGCAATCTTCTTCCAGAGTAGGTAAGCACTATCAATGGCCGTACTATTCACGCATTCATTGTAACAACGTTGACTGAGTCAAGGAACAATGATGGAGATAGCTTTATTGCTTGCAGTGAAGTTGATGGAGGTGGCAGCAACTGTGGCTTCTTCAGCGAGGGGAGTGATACAGACAAGCCAGAGATCTTTTCCTTGAAGTTGAACCTTCATCCAACCATACCAAGAAGGGTAATTCTTGCCGTTGAGAATCGGAGGGAGGTGTTTGGTTTTGATTGATCTTTGTTCGGTGTTGTCTTTCATCACTGCTTTTTAGTCTTGATAGGTCATTTGGTTTCTTTGAGCGTTCAAGACTGTAAATCTGTTAATGGATAGACTAAAAGCAGTAGATGACTAAGAAAAAAGACAACAATTTAGTGCGGTGTCACAACAAGTAACAAGAGAAAAAGATGAAGAACTAGAAGATTTTTCTTAATAAGAGTGATTGGCGAGTTGTTGAGTAGAAGGGAATTATCAATATAAGAATTGACAGGATTACTTGTTCAAAGGAAAATGAAGAAGGATGTAGTGTGAAACCCCCCTTGTCTTAAGAGTTTCACAAGGTCAAGAGGATCAGATTACATAAGCTACTAGATGTACATAGCCTAGCCCTGCCCCTTTCACTTGGACGGTAGAGTTCCGCTCTCAACCATCTAGGTGAGTACTGCTGATTTCACTTTTGGATGATATTGTTTTCTTTTCTCTGGGCTCTCAAAAATATGGTACTGACGAGAGAGTTCCGCTCTCAACCGTCTAGTCTTGAAATAAATCACACGTTGGTTCTAGAAAGATTAGGCTTAACCGCCCGTGTCCGCCCGTCAAAGTAGGATACTTTCAGTGAAGAGTCGCATCTCTTACATGTAGACCAAGGATAAGAGAATTGGTCTTAAAGAATGTAGAGAGATAAGATATGTAGCTTTAGCTAAGAAGAGGAGAGAGATTCAGTTGCGAGAGAAGTGACAAGGAGAAAATTGAGGAGAAAGTGAGTGATAAAAGCAACAAAGAAAA